CTGGCAGGTCGCAGGGTCACCAGCTCAGGGGTTATTCATCTCTGTCTGGCCTTGTAATTGGAAATGCTGCAAAACCTACGGAGTGAGGGCATGATAATGAATACTACTCAACATCCCTCACTGTTCTGGTCTTTTTATTGCCACTGATATCTACCAAACCATAAGTAAGGAGTTTGAGCTGCTTCCTTTAGGACAGAGGAACAGACTCTCCAGAGCCAAGTGCAATAGATTCAAACATTTCTTTGTACAAGCTCACTTAATTCACAACCTTTATAGCTACCAAAAAGACTGTCTTTTTGTCCTATTGTCTTGTTCTCGTACTCACTGCTTGTCATTGTTTTATGGTTATTGTCTTACTCGTTCTAAATCACATTTCTTTTTTTAATCTGTTTTACTGATGGATGAGTCTGCTCTAGTGTGTCTGTTTTGGCCATGCTGCAAGCCAATTTTCCCATTCAGGACAATAAAGACTGAACTGAAGTGAACTGGTTGTATTTTACAGGCCTTGATGTGGATCCACGACACTTTGAAATCCAATGAGAGTACTGTAAATGGTTGTTAGGTATGACACGATTCTCTGCACTGTATTCAGAAGGCTAAAGTAATGGTACAATAGCACTTAAAATGTGTAATTTAAGTCAGATAATTGAAGTGATTCTACTAAATCTCCAGTGGGTGGTATTGGACTCTTTTCAAAAACTACATTTTCAAAATGTTTGAGCTGTTTTAAAGGTCCAGTGTGTAGGATTAAGAGGGACATGAAGTCAGAAATTAAATGCAATATAATGAGTATATTTTCTTGAGTGTATAATCACCTGAAAACAAGAATGTTTTTGTTACCTTAGAATGAGCGGTTTATAGCTACACAGGGGGCTCGTCCACAGAGTCGGACATGTTGCACCACCATGTTTCTACAGTAGCCCAAAATGGACAAACCAAACACTGACTCTAGATAGGGTCATTCACGTTTTCATGTCAGCCACTATAGTTAGCAGTCCTTTCACAACGAACCGAACACCGTGAGAAAAACTGATTTTTATAAACATGAAACTGCTTCATTATGATTTTTTTTTTTTACCGGTTTAAAATCGCCAGGTCCGTTTTGGAAAGGAAGAGACCTCTGAGGATGATTTGGCTCTTGATTAAAACCCCCTAAACAGTGAACACTGGAGGAATCCTAACTGTAAATTCATGTGCTTTGCACATCAGAGAAGTTTCAGCTGGTTGCAATCTGCAATCCTCACCTCGAGATACCTCTGAATCTGACACACTGCTCCTTTAAGATTAGGAAATCTCAACATTGTTTTCACTCTCTGATTTCACTCTAAACAACACTTCTTAACTTCCGTCCTCCAAACAACACTGGAAGATATCAAATATAAATCAAAATTAAAACACACCTCACAGCTCCTCTCCAACATATCATACTTTACTCGGCCATCCTTTATTAGGGCGACAACGTGCTTTAATTTTAATATCACTTCTCAGCTATTAATTCAAATGCAGTTTCCATACACCATCAAACTCACTGATACATTTTCCATCACATCACTGCCTTTGCCAGTTCTAGGTCAAAATACAGCTAGATTTTCTCAAGGTACTATCTTGTCCCCACTATGTGCGAGGAATAGATTCAGCGGAGGGTGTTGGATGCACAGCTCCACAGGCCACCACAGAGCAGCAAGAGAAATAGAAAATAGTGACACCCAAGGGGAAAACATTCAGACCATAGACCCTCTCCAGGCTGGTTAAACCTCCAACCCTTATCCCCCAGGGCTCTCGAGACAAAATCCAGGCCCTCTCACTCCAACACTTGCAGATAAATAAAACCTGCCAAAATGGCAGAGCATTTCTAAGCCAAACATGGAGAACAACAGCACACAGAAACCATGGATTTCAAAGGCAGGGAGAAAAAGCAGAGTCCCCTCCAGAATAGGAGCGCAAGGCATCTGTTGATGCTGGCATCTCCCTTCTCTTCATCTCCAAGCCAAGACTGGTGATCCAGTCGAGTGTGCGTGTGAGTGTGTTTGTGTGTGAGTGTGTGTGTGTGTGTATCTGTGTGAGTGTGAGAGGGTGAGACGAAAGAGGGTGGCTACTTGCTAACATGTGCAATGCGCATTGACCCCACTTGGCCCCCATATGTTACTGAATCAAGAAGGATGGCGAGCTACAACACGACCCCACCTGTTTTCACCTGTATTCCTGCCTTGTGCACTTCCTCTTACCAGAACCTCCATCACAGCGGTGCATGTTGGTGGGAAGACCCATCTGTTGGACTGTTTCAACATTAGTGACATACATGTACAGTGTGAAAATGGGATTTCCTCTAATAGCTGCATTAATGGATATCTGTAAAGCAGAAATCTGTTTCTTAAACGTCTAAATGTAGCATTAAAATAATAGCCTTTGATATATAACCTTAAACGTCCTCTGCTGTGATCTATGTAGCCCCGTAAGCGGAAGCAATTTCTCTTGTCATCTTCATTTTTCACTGAATCAATGACGGCATTATTCTCATTATCAGATCTTGCAGGTTTCTGTCACAACAGAAATCCTTTGAGCAGAGGGTAAATTGTTTAATTTCGTTTGGAGGGGTGTGTGTGTGTGTGTGTGTGTGTGTGTGTGTGTGAATACATTCACAGCTTTAATGTTCCATAAGCCTAACAGTGTCTGGTCTAATAGATGAAACAGGTTTTGGTTAATTGCAGACAGCTTGTGTGCCAGAAATACACAGATATTTCACTGTATGTACGAGCGGGCGCTTGGCCATCCACCTTTATAGCATAATGGTTTTCAGACATTTTAAGTGAAAGAAAAGGGAGAATAAATGCGGAAGAGAAGAGGCATGACAGCATGCCAGGAGCTGGCCATCACACCCATGGAGTGGCTTGTACATTCACACACCAAGCCAGTAGGAAACCTTTGAATAGCCTAATTGTGTTTTGCAGCAAAGACAAAGCGCTTTTTCAACCTGGTTGGCATTGTACAGGTCTGAAAACACATTTGACTATCTGTTTCTGAGGGAATGAGAGATAAAATGGTGCTCTCTCTTAATAAATATTTGTTGTGCTTAATGTGAAGTGGCTAAATGAGTGATAATCACTGTCAGGGGGAAGAAATATCTTCAGGTGAATAAATCCTGTGCAGTCATTTGGGGGAATTTGTCTTATTCATCATTAACTAGGCAATAATACCTCAGACAATCTACTAAACAGTGGTGGTGAGGCATTTAAGCGACCACATACCACAGTGGCCTGACTCTCAGAGGCACAGATACAAAGGATTATTTCAGTGCTGCATGATTTATCAGCAGCGGACGGTGCCCTTTTAACAGTCATGTACTTCCTTTATAATGCATGCTTTCTAGCTTAAAAGACAGACGTGTTGTGGACCTACAGCAACTCAGAGCAGCAGGCGGGATCCCTCTCCGAGATGAATCTGATTCACATGTGCTGCAATGTGCACAACTCACATCAATATCCAATCATTCCTCAACTGTGGCTTACATGATTGGTCACACCTTCACATTACAAAGAAACCCACAGGTTACAAATTTGGAGGGCTGAGAGCTGAAATGAGACTCAGTGTGGTTGCAGGGTTGGTTTGTGTGGTGCTGAGCCCATTGTGTTTGTGTGCTGTGTACGTCCTGCAGGGCTGTCCGTCTGCTCTCTGCCTGGTGTGGAGAAGGGGCTTGCTGTGGCAAGCCAACCATGACCAGCTGGGCTCTCCTGCCCATGAGGAGCTCAGGAGCAGGAGGCTATAGCCCGTCTGCATCTGCACGTTGTTAACCTCACATCTTATTGCACTGACACATCAATTATTGTTATTAAGGGCCGGAGTAATTTATTTATATACTGATTTCCCACAGGATGAAGGCAGGACTAATTGAGCCAGGTGTGTGTATTTGTGTGTGCGTGCTCATGCTAGATGGGAGAGGGGAAATTAGAGTCGATGGTGAGGATGCCGTGCACAAGTAATATATGGTGGGACATCCCATAGCATGGTGAGAATATTAGCGGATGACATGATGAAAAATGCAGGAGGATTTTGAATACTCCCTGGTCAGCGTTCCCCGTGGACAATAACAACACAACAACACTGTCTGCTTGTGTTATTCATAATGAAGCAGTTTAGAATGCCATCTGAATCTTGTGCTCATGCGAGTTATCTCGACACTGAAGAGCCAATGAATAAAGTGTGTTTGTCTCTTTTGTTGAGCTGTGGGGAAGATGTTTTATTGCAGGGATGAAATAGGAAATTTAGACTTCACTACCCTGTGCATGTTTGACCTCCTCAGCCCCCCACCCCTCCCAAAAAAAACCTGTCCATCCGTCTCCATTTATCTCTCTCTCTCTCTCTCTCTCTCTCTCTCTCTCGACCTTGGTTTTGAAGAGACAGAACAAAACACTGTCTTTCTCTCCTGAGTCTCTCTGCAATGCTTCTATCTGTACTTACGTTAACCCCCCCCCCCCCCCCCCCCCCCCCCCCCCCCCTTTGCACTGGTGGTGCGTCGTGTGCGTGGGATACCAGGCCATTCAAGTCACGTAAAGGAATGTTCACACAAGACCGGGAATGGGAGTCTATTTTTCCCATAGTAAACATCTTAACATGCATCACTCGTTGCTTACACTGAACCACGAGGTTGGCTTGGAGATGAACCTGGCGCTGCGCTCGCACGCACGCACTCATGCACGCAGCCAGACGCGTGCACACACACACACACACACACACACACACACACACACACACACACGCAGACAGAACATCCCCCTCTCTCTTCATTTATCTCCGTGTGAGCAAATGGGAAGCTGGAGCGCAGTATAGCACAGCAGACACGCGTGATTCACAGGCAGGTAGACCCCCCCCCCCCCTGCACAACCCCCCTCCTCATCATTAGTATTCACCTCCACAACCGTTTTCAGAAAATGAAAGATACATGCGTAGAGGCGCAGCAGCACAGAACCGCCAGCACATCGCTAAAGTAGCTGGTAAGAACTTACCTTTCGACAGCAGAACCAGCATCAAACCAGCAAACGCGTTCCGCAAGAGGGGGCAGCCCATGATGGAGTTCTGATTGATTTTCTGCTTGTTTTTGCAGCCTTGGTATTCCTCCTTTATGGTGCCGTTGCGGGGAATCTGTATATATATATAGAAAAAAGACCCAGAGGATGGATGTCAACAGCAATAGTCCAACGCTTCTACATGTGACTGGATGAAAACATCAGTCTTATCCAGTTGACTTTTCCTTCTGATGACCCGCGTCGGAGAGAGAACCGAAGAGAGCTGTTTGTCTTCTCCTGTGTAGACTCTGCCAACCAGAAAAATATCAGAGCAGAGGAAAAAAAACAAATATCCCAGACACTTAGTTTGGCTCACAGTGCTGCGAAGGAAAATATTTTAGGAAATACATGGGAAGAGAAAAAAAAGGTAAAATTGAAACTGTCCAGTGACTTGACAGAAATGTGTTTTTACTGTCAGAGAACAGGATGGGGGTCTGTGCGTCCTGACCAGTCGCAACTCGCCACTTGAGCTTAATTAGCCTGCTCCCGTATGTCTCTGTTGGTATGCAGCGCGTCTCGTCGCTCCGCACTCAGCGCGTCGCAGGGAGCAGCAGTGAATGCGAGGCGCACAAGAAAGAGCATGATTGACAGTTCAAGGAGAGAGCCTTTCTCCCAATCACCGAGCCCAAGGAAGGAGGCGGGATTTATGATTGCACCGATGTCCCGCTCCGAGAGGCCGGCCGAGGAGCAGCGCTAGCCAATCGGAGGCGCGCGGTGGGCGGGCAGAGCGCGACGCGATGCACGGCGCGGTGATAATGCAATGTGATTTATAGCCAGTTCGGTGTTGCTGCAGTACTCGGAGAAAACAGTCCACAGGGGGACAGGCGGGCATAATAACTACAGGGACAGAGGTGGAGGGTGGGGGGAGGAAGTGAGTGAGGGGCAGGTGGAGACATATGGGCTCTGGTGCGCGGGTTTTGGAGACAGTAAATGAAAACAGAACGAGGTAGAATGACAGGTTGTGTTGCTGATAAGCAGATGTTACTCAATTGCTGAAAATGAATACTGTCAGACCAGAGGAGGGGAAGCCTGTAAAGAGGAAGTGAGAAAATTGCCCACATGCATAGAAGTTGTGGGCAGACTGGGCGGACTGGGCGGATTGTCAGAGCAGATTGTAACAGCACTGCAGAGATCACCCCATCTGACTTAATCACACTGCTGACTTAATGGCAGGCGACATAAACCCATGTAGGAAGACACTTTATATTTATGCAGAAGTACTAATGAGCCATTTATAAACATGTTCTCTTCATCTCTGCGCTGCGTCTGGTACTAAAAGTAAGAAGCCGTTGCTTATAGCGAGGATCTAATTTTCTTTAAAAGGCCTTTCACATGGTGAGATAATCATTGCATGAAAGCAGACTCAGACACCGGCTCCTTCACGGGAAGCTGTGGAAACGCTCAGAAAACTTGATTACTAAATTTATGCATACTTCCCTAACATTTGGCCCTTTGTTACAGTCAAGTTGCATCATATTAGCAGACCTCCTCGGTCAGAAACACAACATACAGCTCCCGCAGCGTCCATTGGGTCCAATCCTTGCAATATTTACTGTATGCCTGAGATGATTATTTCCTGTTAGCTGATGGACTGTTCTATTTTTGACCGATACACTTGTTTCTTTATTCTCCAAATAACCAATTAATGCTTTATTACTGCTGAGTGCATACTGTAAGTAACAAAGCGCCATTTGCTGATTTATAGTTTTGGACAGAATAACAATAAATACAGTTGTGGATTAACTGACTGCATATCTGCCTCACAAGAAAGATGGAGAACGATGAAGAGGCAAGAAAATCGAGGACTGATTAATGAGTCAGCTAATCAAAGCCCAGCATTAGTTACTTACAGGGTGTGATTTGTTTGTAAATACTTAGTATTCACTATTAATTAGATTTGACACAGTGGAGGGAACCTGGAGCCAGTCATGTTCATGATGTTAACCACTGGCTCATTAGGCCGTTATTTATGAATGTTAATTTTTGATTTTTAGCAAACTGGTGCAGAATTCATGAGTCATGAAGATAGATAGATAGATAGATAGATAGTCCCAGTTTTATTTCAGCTGGCTGCAGCAAACAGTGAGAACAACAATATAAAGAGATAACACAAGTAAGTGAATAAAGAGAATAGGTCTAGTCTTGGCCTGAGGGAAACCTCGATTCAACATGGCTTATACACCCTTAACTATATGCTATTGTTTGTACAAAACAATTAAGCCTCGCACAGTATGCCACATTGTTGCTCTAATCAGCATGTCCTACTCCTCCTCTTCGTGTGGACATACAGTATTTGCACTGAAATGAATGCCGCAGGACAGTTATTGTACAGCTCCCACATTAGCATAGAAACATTGCCTCTGCGTGACACTAAAAACTCTGATCCAAACAACAGATACTGTATATGCAGTTGCGGGAGCTTCATTAATGGTATTCATGATTGCAATCAGTAATTCAGCTGGGGTTCAGTCAACTCACGGATATTATTTATAGACCTGTCACAAGTTGCAGTTTGTTTGTACTCAGTTGTTCCAAGTTATTCAATAAGAGTAGAAGCACATGCGAAAAATGTTGACATAAATTTGCATTTTGACTCAGATTTCACAAAGCCAATTACCCTCAGACCTCGCCTGCTCCCGTCATTCTGTATGACATCCTGAGCACAGTGGGAGCCGGCTGAGAAGAGGACAGAGGGATATTTCTTAATTTTGGAAAGACTGACATGCATCAGTATGAGGAAGTCATTATTAAAGGTAGAAAAAACCCAACTAAATACATGCAACTCTTTCTGTAGACGACAGGCTCAAGTGTAGCCTGCACACACTGTGAGTGTTATATTACTTACAGTTGTACAGTATGTTCTTTCTTTGCTGTGCCAAAACAACATTGATGTGAGGATGGTAAAGCAGTTGGTCTGAAGAATATGTCACTTCCTCCTGCTTTGCAAATGTGAAAACACAATTCAGGCTGTGGGCCTCCCTAAGGGGACCCCAAGCCTGTGAACCAATGGAAACAATGTCGGTCCCCTACAAGGAATGTGAATAACTTCCTTCACTACAACAAAGATATAAAAGAAGATGTGAGTCCTTTCAGTCAAGATGTGAAGGGAACACTGCTGTAACTTTGATGTGACAAAGTTAGCTGTAAGTAAAATACAAACCTGTCTGTTGGAAACCACATAAGGTGGACCATAAAGTACCAGTGGGCAAACGTACCTGCTTTTATAAAGATTTAGGGAGGATGTAGTTTCACATGAAAACAGTACAGCGGGACTAAAGGTTGTTGGAGGTAAGGGTGGTGAATAAACTCATGTATATTAACCTTCAACTCCATTAACCAGGCTTGATCGCTATAAATTGAATTTTTATCCGTTTTTGAACCGCAGCAAAATCCTTGAGTTGCCTAAAAATGACCAAAGTTGTTTATGTTTGCCCGAAAAATGATAAACAACCAATACTATTTTTTCAAATTTTGTCCAGAACATGTTCCTGCATGGGGCGGCACGGTGGTGTGGTGGTTAGCACTGTTGCCTCACAGCAAGAGGGTTCCTTGTTCAATCCCAGGAGGGAGCCCCTCTTTGTGGAGTTTGCATGTTCTCCCCGTGTCAGTGTGGGTTTCCTATGGGTGCTCCAGCTTCCTCCCACAGTCCAAAGACATGCCGGTTGGGGATAGGTTAACTGGTGACTCTAAATTGCCTGTAGGTGTGAATGTGAGTGTGAATGGTTGTCTGTCTCTATGTGTCAGCCCTGCGATAGTCTGGCGACGGATGGATGGATGTTCCTGCGTATCCAATGTTTCAGGTGTCACAATGATTATTAACAAATCTGAAAAGTTTAAGGTGAAGCAGGGTACATACCATAGAATGCAAAATAAAGATGGACGACATGAATGCTGCAGTGGTTAGCATTGTCACCTAACAGCAAGAGGGTTCCCCTAAGGCGGCGGAGCCCTTCTGTGCAGAGTATGCATGTTCTCCCCGTGTCAGTGTGGGTTTTCTCTGGGTGCTCCGGTTTCCTCCCACAGTCCAAAGACATGCAGGTTAACTGGTGACTCTAAATTGTCCGTAGGTTGAATGTGAGCGTGAATGGTTGTCTGTCTCTATGTGTCTATGTGTCAGCCCTGTGATAGTCTGACGACCTGTCCAGGGTGTACCCCGCCTCTCCCCCAGTGTCAGCTGGGATAGGCTCCAGCCCCCCCCCCCCCCCAAACAGGATTAACAGTTACGGAAAATAAATGAACAGTACGAAGTAAAGCTAAAACATCTTGATTGCCCCCTGGTGGCTGGCTGCAGTATACCCGCCCCCTCCATGTTAGCAGATGGGATATGGGCTAAACTAAACTTAAAGTACTTGTCAAAAAAAATTTCCCAACTATGGTTTCTGTCTTTTGAAGTAGTTCTTATCACGTTGATGCAGTCTCGTGCACAGACATGTTTGGGGGGCAGGTGCCCAAGCCAAAAAGAAACCTCTCTCCCACCTTTCTCATAATTATTAATTTAAAAAATAGTTGTATACAGTAACACGTTTTGTTTATGTTATGAAGTTAACAGAGTGCTGAAGAGAAAAGAGTCTTTTGTGGGTCGTTTAGGTAGTTAGTTTTGTTCATTCACATCAAATTCAGCTTCCTACAAACATGGTTCTTTTCTTCAGGCCTTGAATGGAAGGCTTATTTTATATTTTCTCTTTTTATTTTATATTTTCTCTTGTTACTTTCTCATCAGACCCCTTTGATTTAACCTGTGATCCAGCTAAATGCTTAATTTCCTGTTAGCCCAGAAATTAAATTAAATTCATTATTCATCTTTTAAGAGTCAATCCACTGCCCAAGAATTTGTAAACAATAAAGTTTGTGTGTATGCGAAAACTGCTCTGATTTCATTAAATAGTCAGGTATTAATACTTAAAATGATCCCGTAAATAAGCTTTAACATTCATAAATTTAAACATTTAAACATTGTGATTGGTTGGGTGACCGGAATTCAATACTGCAGAAATCGCCACTGCGCAAGTTCTGGCTTTAAATGACGTAACGGGTGTAAGATGGCAGCGGCCATATCCAGGATATTTCGGCTTTATTTTAGTACAGTGGGAGAAAATGGAGGCACGTTGTCCAACTTCATATGCAGTTATTGGTACGTACAAAAGGAAAACATGTGACAAGTGACTTTGCCAACTCATGTCAATAGCATGTGAAAATAATGTCTTTAAAAGATGTCATTTTGTCATCTGCTTCCCCTAAACTCCACCATGCTGTGCCCCAATTTCGTGCCAAAGATTCGCTGTCTAGAGTGGGTGGTAATTTTTCCAAAATGGCTGCTATCTTATGTTGGAGCGACAGAAATAAATTATGTATTGAATAGATTTATATTATCAGTTGAGGGCTGGAATAAACAGGAATGGACTGGAGCCAGTTATTATCTCTTTATATCTTGTGGCTGCTCAGTTTAAAATCATCTCTGCTGTTAAGTCTGCTGCGATGTTTTCAAATTCCCATCGATTTATTGTGTTCAATTACTTTTTTTGATCTAAAAGCATTATTG